ACGGATAAAAATAATACTAAATTAAGAAAATAAGATTATAAAAATAGAAATAAATAAAATATAATAATAATAAAAATCAAGAAATTCGGAATTAGTTAAATTCGGCCAAAAGAGAGTCCAAATCTAATTCCGGTAACACAATTGATCACTTTTTTTAAAAATTGGTTAAGTTTTTTCTTTATGCATGAAACTTTATATTTGATATTGTTGGTATCTTGCTTTGCCTGCCACTCCTTGTTCAAAGGACATTTTGAACATGATATATGACTATGGGTAGTGGCTCCACATTTGCATAATTTCTTCTTTGAGTTGTTACCTTCTTCATTCTTACATTTTGTATTCTTATTGGTGTCAGTAGTGTTGACTAGTGAATTTGGTTGTGTTGAAGACAAGTTGTATTCACATGGTTGTAACAAAGATAATAAATAAATATATATAACTATATTCTTAATGTTATAATGGAGAGATACAAAACATATCTATTTATATTATCAACTTATAACCTCATTAACTAGACTGTTCATGTCAAAATCTTCAATCTCATTTTCAATCAAAACAATGGGCTGTGAATTAAATTCTAATGAAATGTCTAATACTTCATCATTATTTGTATTTATTATTGTTTCAGATGATTGTAAACTTGATAAAATTTGCTCTTCATCTTCTTCTAATGTCACCTCTTCATAGCTTTCTGCAAGTGATTCGTTCACCATTTGAACTATTTCATCATCATAATTGATTACTTGGTGTTGGTGATAATTAAGTAATTCTTTTTTTGTATTTCCCATATAAAACCTTACATACATTTGTTAAAGATTCAATTGTTTCAAATGATAACTGTATTCTTCATTTGCCATATATATACACTCACAACTTTCTGCATGCAGTGTTATTGAGAATAATTTAATAGCAAGAGCTTGAAGCTGATTGTTTGAAGGAAAGCAAGTGTTCCATCATTTAAAGGGGATTGTTGTTGTGAGTTAAAATCAATTTTTTAAATTTTTCTTTAAGACTTTTCAATAATTTAAAATCGTCCTCATTTAATTCTGATTGTTGGTTGAGCAAAATATGGTCTTTATATATGTTTTGAAATGTTTATGAAGTCATAAGGAGGTTGACTTTTCTTATGTCATGTTTACAAATAATTATTGCAGCAAAGCTTATGAATTAACATTAAAGTTATAGAGTAAGTCATAATGACGTTCTTCTTTTTTATGGTCCTTCAAAGATGAATAATATATTGTAACTGCAAAGGATGATGATAGATATGAAGTAATGTATTTATGTTTATCTTTAATGGTAACACAAATTAAAGTTTTGATCATTCTTATTGGTCAATTTAACGATCAGCAAAGTAAAAACAGTCAATCGACCAACTTTTAAAGAAGATTTTACAAAAACCACAAGGACAACAACTGGATTTTTATTTATAGATTAATCTCAAAGATCATTTTCGTATTAGAAAGTGATGCCCTCAGAAAAAAATTTTTATATCAGAAAAATTTTATCATTAACCGTTTAGGGGATAATAATAAATTATTGTGACAATAAGCGCGTTCGAATTATTAATATTTAGGTTCATAAGGCACGTGACTTGTGTGCAGCAATTTTTTCGGGTAATTCATTGGCCGTTTTGTTTGTTTAAATTATCCTTCCCCTAATTTTCAAAAAAAAAAGAATTAAATTTGAACAGCCTAATGAAGATAATAATAAAATTCTTATCTAAATATAATGACACGATTATTCATTTGCTCATGTATCAAAATAACAATTAATGTTTCCTGTCATCCAGCAATTACAATTTCTAATTCCGTAATTATGAATAGTAATAGTGTGATGAATAAAGTAATATACTAATATAACCATTTAAAATTCATTAAACAAAAAGTGGAAACTATAAAAAATAAAAAATAAAAAGAAAAATGACAATGGATCAATATTTATTACAGAAAAAAAAGTTAAGACCATAACACTGATTTCAAACAATTTCCATTATTTTCTCAATTTTTTGTTTTTTCTTTGGTTTTTTCTTTTTATCATTATCTACTGATGATAATGCTTTTATTGCTGTTGCCTTATCAGGATCCATATTTGCACTCTTTCTTTTTTTCTTACTTCCTGATTTATTATTATTATTATTGTTGTTGTTGTTGTTGTTGTTGTTGTTGTTGTTGTTGTTGTTGTTATTATTATTACTATTATTATTATTGGAAGTGGTGGTTATGATGGTGGTGTTAGTATTTTGTGGTTGTGGATCTGTTGGTATTACTTTTCTGAATTGTTCAGTTAGATTTTTTGGTCTTGAAAATGGATCAAATGGTAATGAAATTTTTACTATTTTTTCAATTAGTGATTAATTAATTATTAGTAATTAATTATGATAAGAGAAATTTAATAATATTATCATTTACCATTATTATAATTTAAAAACTGAATACTATATTCAGACAATTGATGATTTTTATCACCAAGAACTTCTTCAAAAATTGGTCCAATCACCATTTCTTTCATTGGTTCAATCATTCTCTAGAAGAGGAAATGAAAAAATCAGTATTAGTTATCCTAATTCTTAATATTCAAAGATAATAATCATAAGACCAAGAAAACAAACTAACGTGTCCACGTTCTTTTCTTACCACATTTTTTTTATCTAATTTTTTCATTAAAAAAATTTTTCCAAATAGTATTTAACCATTATTTGTAACTTTAAATATAAAAAAGTAATAAAGGGGCTTACTAGGCGAAGATTCAGCAGATAAATTAATAGATTCGTCAGATTCTTCGACACCTTCATCTTCTGAAAGATAAGAATCTGGAACAAGGAAATCTTCATCCTATAAAGTGAATCATGAGCGGCAATAATTATGTGTAGAAATATTTTTTAATTTAATTTGATTTATAAATACTTTAAGTTCATCTTCTTCAGGTTCTTCTTCATCGTCATCACTCTTTAATTCCTCACCATCATCAAGTTCCCATTCTGCTTCACTATCGTAATCATAATCAAAGTGATCAGGATCTTTTGCAAAGGGACGACGACCGGTAATTTTTTTACTAGTTTTTGTCCAGGTTCCTTATATTTTTAAAAAGAAACCATATTCATTAACTTATTACATTATTATTAATTCCATTAACTATGCACATACCATAATATGATGGACGATGGTTTTCTCCAAATTGTAATAATTTTATCCACACTTTAGATTTATCATTTAACAAATTTAATTTATCTTCCATTGACAATTCTTCAACAACTGAATATTGATCATCGGATTTAATATCCATCATCTTTTTATTGTCATCACCATTAGCATCAATGTCATGGTCTTTGATAACCATTTCTTTGTAATTTGAATTAATGGTATTTTTTAAAGAAAATAATTTTTTGATGTTTATTGGAAGGTTGATTCCACGCTTCTTTAACAGCTTTGGTCGTACAGCTGATAAATATTCTTTAATATAATATTCTTTGGATTCTAATTTCGATTGTTGTTGTTGTTCTGACAACTTTATATTATTAATATTATTATACTCATTTAAGACCAACTTTTCAAAATTAGCATCTAGAGGATGTTGAAATTTGTTGATAGGTGCCATAGTCATTGTTTTTATAACATTAAATGGCCGAAAAAAATTATAGAAAGACTCGAGTTTTGGATCATTATAAATTAGTGCTTTAAAAGGTTATATTTAATATTTGTTAAAATCGTATAATAAAAAAAACAATTTTTTAAGGTATTAAATATTACCTTTTTTTTCTTTTTTTGTTTCAGTTCTTTGAACTAGAGGGAAGAATTTTAAGATATTTGTCTTGGGAATTGGTTTTGCCTCGGTAGATTTACGAGCTGACATTTTTTAATTTTAATAATTGATAAATTATATAAAAAGCGCGTAAATAAGAAATCAAGATAAATTGCCTTTTTTGGAGATGGTATAATTACGGTGCAGATCATCTATAATAATTACTTGCTTATATAGCTTCAAAAATATTAATACAAAAAATTTTTATATCATTTTAAAAAAGTCAACCAATGAATTTTATTGTTTATGACTCAAACTTCAAAACTTATCGGCCAGATTTTTCTTAATTGGCTGAGCCTTAGCATTTTGAAAATTCCAAATTTTGTTATACACTTAAGAAATTGAGACTAAGTAAATTTCGTGTAATAAAATTTTTTCATGGAATGTTTTTACAACGTATATATCAATATATTGGATTGTTATTATTTGTATATTTATTTTCGTTTTTATTAATAAATAAAAAGTTCAATTCAATAAAAAAAGGTTTAACGAACATATTACATTAAAAAAAAATCATTACCAAACTTGAAAAGCATAATACTTCTCATCAGAAATAGTACAGTCATACCTCTTTTATTGTATCGGTACTTTTGTGGGATATAATTGAGGTGGGATATATCTCGAGCAGTTGATCATTTCACATGACTTTTAATTTAAAATAAAAATTTTTATTCAATATTAATATCAATAAATTCTGTCAACAAGGATTGATGTTTTGCTTTATCTACAGAACTATTTAAACGTTTCATTAATTTACTAAAATATTTAACATCTTTTTTGTAGTAAATTCTTGTTGTTCTAAGAATCTTTTTGCAGTTTCAGATGCTTTTCCTCCTCCTTCTATAGAAATAATAGTTTCCAGTTTTATGAATTTATAAATTTTAATTTTTATTATTCAATTATTAGGATAAAAGAATGTGCACATATTATGCCTAAGTCAAAACCAAGTTCTTTTATACATGCAAAAAAGATACTTTGCCACAACTGTGAAAAAAAGATTTTTTTTTTTATTGTTAAAAGAAATCAGCTATGTCTTTCTTTGTTGTTAAAGGAATCAACCAAGTTGTCACCAAAAAAAAAAGAATAATTGATATTATTTCACTGTTGTTAAAGGATTCAACCAAGTTGCCACAAAAAACTCCCATTGTTATTAATATTAAGAAATCAAAATGACGCCAAAAAAATTAGCAAAATTTATTGTAAACGTTATATATCATTTACAAATAAGGTTAAAATAGGCACGCAATTGTTTTGACCAATTAAATCGTGAATTTAAAAATAAATGTTAATAGAAACATTTAATGTGGGTTAGATTCATTTTGTCAACAATCACTTCACCAACAAGCCCTTTAACAGTTGGTTAAAAAGTATTAAGAAACAGAAATTTGACAAATGAGCACTTGGCTAATTAGGTTTTTAACCCCTTTAATGTTTGATTGGAAGGCCTGTGACTTCCAAACTTCCAAACTTCCAAAATCTTCCATTGGAAGCTTCCAATGCACATCACTGCTGTATTGTACACGAAAATTTATTATTACATTTCTCTCGAAATTAAAAAGAAAATTCGAGACAAATTTTTTCTATGTGAATTGACTCCCTTTTAAAAGCTGAATTGAATGGTGATGGTTTTTTTAAAATCCAACGTATGGATCATATAATATTTTAAATTTTTTAACTTTTGAGTATAGATGATTCGCACTGTAGAAAAAATTGTGAATATCATTACAACGAAGTGGCTGGACATAAACATTGTCTACATTTTTTATACTCAAAACTGGCACTAATTTGGTTTTGAATCGAATTTATTTTAAAATAAATGTTATTTTGGAAATTATAATTAAGAATGTGTATTTCATTGCAAAGCTTAGAAGCCATACCATTTTAATGGTGTGACAAAATTGGATGCAAGTCAAATGACCTATCCATATAATTGCCAGAGTTCTTGAACATTAATTATCATTGGGGCATTTTCAGATTTTATAGCCAATGTTTATTTCTATTATAAAAATATATGCTAAAAATGTTAAAATCTATTATTACTTATTTATCATTAAGCTTGTGTAATTCTATTATTTTGTTGTTGTTTAGTTTCCAGATCTTTCAGACTCCATAAACTGATTCCAAATTTATCATGTTCAAATGGCTGTGCCATGGATCTTAAAAATTTTTTTGCAATCACTAAAGCCATATCTGTTGATAAATTTATTGCTATATCTGTAATGTGTTGGTTTATCCATTTTGGTAATTTATTCCGTTTATCTGCTCTTCCAAATCTCTGATAAATACAAAAAATAATAATTAACTACATAAATACGTATATGTATATATAATATCAATATTTTTAACATTAAAACCATTATCTAACTTTATCAGCAAATATCATAAGCCCGTAATCTGTTTTCCCACGTAACACTCTTCCTACGCATTGTGCTGCATGACGCATTGCATCAAATGTCAAAAAATCATTTTCACGTATTTGATAGTTGTCTCTAAGAAATTCCAAACGTGCCTACATTAAGTATATATATATTATTTATTTATCTGATTATATTTTTATTCGTAAATATATTTAATTACTTACTTTTAATATTCTACTCTCGGTATATTGATATGGTACACCAAAAATTATCACGGCACGACCATAATTATGATCAAAATCTATACCTTCTGACACTTTACCACGAGCAACAGAAAGTAAAATGGCACCTCTACCATTGTCACATGCCTATTTATGACATAAAACATTAGTATTGTTATCATTGATATTGGATATTAACAAAAAAATTTTAAAAACAAAATTGTGTCATCTTAATCATTACTTTACGATAATTTTCCAATGCAAGGCTTGTCTCAATTGCATCAGGAGTTTCAATAAATATTAATTTATTTTTCAATGCTTCATTCAAAATTCCCTTTGAAAATAAAAATGGTTTTTTTTAATGATATGAGCTTATTATAAGAGAAACTACCAACAAAAGTAAGCTTACCATATCATTCCACATGGCCACAATTGATTCCATGTATAAATAGCTAGGGAAAAAAGCCACAATGCCATCAGGAACTATTTTTGAATACTCTACAAGAATTTGCCCAAAATTTCTTACTACGGCAGGATCATTTCTTACTTCAAATTTTGAACTTATTGCCACTTGATCACTTCCTCTAGTAATAACCTAAAATAATATTCTTTTATATTCAATAATTAAAGATACTACAACATCAAGTTAAAATGTTGTAAAGATAGATAAATACCAGTGGTAGAAAGCAGTTTCTAGTAAGACTCATTGAATAACTTTCTTGAATCACAGCACGAAAATTCAACATTTTTGGATACATGTCAAGAGGCGATAATGTTCCTGATGTAATCACCACAGTTTTAAATCTTTGAAAAACTGGCCTAATTGCAATAGAGGCATCAAGACATCTATATTATCAGTTTTTTTTTTAATTAAAAAATTAATATTCAAGTAAAATCATATTCACATAAAATGATTAAATTAAAAACTAACGTGAGATGAAGTACTGGATTAGGTATGGTATCATTTTCAAAAGGTTCCAAAATCAACAAAAAGCCTATTGAAATTAAAATCTTATTTATTATAGGCATAATTCATTCTAATAAAAAATTTTATATTTTATAATTCTTAATTGCCTGTATTATAAGTTGCAACTAATGTTGCAAATCCAGCAACTTTATGTAATGCATAATAATCATCAAGGTTAGTTAGCTCCAGAGTACGAATCAATGAGGTCAGTCTTTGACTGCAAAATCTATATGTGTATATATAAGAATGTTATTCATAAACAAATATTTCTTTATCATAGATCCCTAAAACTAACCTTAAAGGCTTTTGATCTATAAATGTAACATCTCTAACATTTTGAAGAAATGATACAGGTGTCTCAGCAACCACATGTTTTATACGCATTCTAGTCTTATGTTGAATATTTTGAATTATCAAAGAATAAAATTACAAAATTATGTCAATATGATGCTAATCAATTACTTACTTTTAAGTATTCAATGAAACGCCGCATGAATGCTACAAAATGTTCTGCTTTCCGTATGTTTCCAGGCACAGCTTCTTTTAACACATCATCTGGTAAGACTAATTATTTATGAATGCAGATAAATAATATGTGATTAGAACTTATGTATATATTATATAAATAATAAATAATTGTATATGTTTAATAAATTGAAGTTCACCAGGATTTGCCATATACATATCTTCATCTCTTGCTTGACTTGCTTCTTTTAGGCCTGTTGATTCAAACAAATAAGGTATTCATATCAAAATTAATTTTAACAAAAGAATATTTTAATCATTTAGTTCTATAAACCTTCAACTAGTTTTGTATATTCATTTTGTAATTTCTCTGATCCCTCGGCTTTAAGGCTTAATAATAAATAATAAATATAAATAAGCAATGGATGTGCATATATATATATACACACATTCGAATAATTAAATTTAAACTTACTCTTCAATCCTTTTGGCTAATTCAGCTACACTTCTTGCACTAGCATCCAAATTTGGCTTTGTAAGATCGATACTTAAAGATTCAATACAAACATTATCTTTTTAAAAATTAAACATATTTATTTTATCTTATTTTATATAACAATTAAAAGATTTAATTTATTAATATTTAAATTTTAAATATACCAATATTGTGAGCTTCATCAAACACTACTATACAATCTTTAGACATTTCTTTTGATACCAATTCTGCAACTTTAGGATCTAGAAGATAATGATAGCTGTATATTATTACATTTGCATAAGAAATCTAAATTGTATAGATAGATTAAATTAATTTTAATAAAAATAAAAAAATATACTCAAGAATTAAACCATAATATATATATTTACCATTCTTCTAGATAAATAATATGGACAATAACCTTTGTTTTTACTATATTCTTTTAAATCCTCAAGTGTATAAACACCATCAGGCAACATGTTTTCTTTTGTATCCATTTTTTCTAATTGCTATGTTAAAACAACTATGACTGTCATTAATTATCTGAATTGCAAAGTAACAAT